ATTACCTATCATGTCATCATGAGCAGTGCGTCTCTGCTGGTTCTCCAGTTCAATAACTGACACCTTCTCTGAACGACGGTGTGACGGGTTAATGGCCTCTTCCTGGTGGATGGCTTCTGCTTGAAAACTCTTCTGCTTTTGTCTCACATATCTTACTCTGAATGATGAGGTCAGCTTTATACCTGTTTATACACTCTTTGAGCTGTGTCATGGTAAGCAGGATGTTTGACGACAGAGCAAATGACGCTGGTTAAGTCACAGAGGAAGGGCCCTAAAAGCATTAGATACTTTCTGCTTTGTTCTTATTCCTGAGAAAACATAAACATGTTTGATTTTCTCCCAACCGACCAATCGCTCAGGGCACAAAGAAAGATTCTTCTTCTTCTTCTTCTTCTTCTTCTTCTTCTTCTCAGATGTAAACACAGAAGCATGGTGGGGGTGTAATGAGTAAAATGGAGTTCTTTCTGTAAAGTAGTTTTTAAGGCTTTCAGCACAAAATTGCCAAAATTGCCAAGGCAGCGCGTTTCACTCTAGTGAGCTTCATATTCCTCTTCTATTTGTTCGGCTTCCAGATAGACGAGTCAGAGGAGCTCCATCTCACTGCGGAGCTGAGTCCAACGTGCTTTTTAGTCGTGCAGTGTGAGCAGGCAGATGGCATCAGAGCATCGGGCGGAACATAAATTGTGAGCAGTGAACTCACACCGTACGACTTATTCCTGCGGTTAGTCGTACAGTGTGAGCCGTAGCTGGGTGCAACGATTGAAAAAAATCGCACAGGGTATGCCGGGCTTTATGGTCTCTGAGATTTCTACCTTTGTAGCAGTTTATACATTGCACCTATTGGACCTGCTGTTTGACCACGCCCCTTTTATTGCCCATTGGATATGTCTACGTATTGACACACTACTGACGTGTTATAGGGGTCAGTATTGGCCAGGATGTTGCGATACGATACGTATGATGATACTGGGGTCACAATACGATATACATTGCAATATTATATCCATCCATTTTCTCCTGTTTCTTCCATCAGCTGTGAGATGGCTGCTTAACCCCAGCGCTCTATGTGCGATAGGCAGGTTCACACTGGACAGGTCGCATATCTGTCACAGGGCAACAACTAAGACACACAACCACGCACACTCACGCCTCAGCTCAGGCATGCCAGTTAACCCAACAGTCAAGTTTCTTGACTGTGGGAGGAAGCTGGAGTACCCGGAGAGAACCCACACTGCACGGAAAGAACATGTAGACTCCCTGCAGAAAGACCGCCAGTCAGGAATTGAAATGGAACTTTTTTTGCTGCAAGGCAGCAGAGCTACAGACTGCACCTCCGTGCACCCCATATTCTATCCAACTAATATCTACTTAAAGTGCCAAATTAAAAGAGCAAGAGCAGTTTTGTTGCTTAAGTGATCATGTTGTTTGTTGGGTTTGAATTTGATAGAAGGATAAGGAAAAAATTCAAACTTTCTACTAGTGTTGCACCGATACCGATACCAGTATCGGACGGGGCCCCGATACTGCCCTAAAATGGTGGTATCGGTATCGGTGAGTACCAACAAATAGGTCACTGATACCATTTTGAGAGTCATAAGTTTATTCAACTATTGTCACCCACTCCTGGTAGGCAATAAAAAGTTCTACTGGATTCACTTTGTATTAGATTTTTTCCTGCTTCACAAAGGTAGGCAGCAGCTTGACAAAGCCATGATGGCAATTATTTTACATTATTATGGTATCGGTATCGGCCAATACTGCACAACCAGGTATCGGGTATTGGTAACGGGGCCAAAAAATGGCATCGGCGCAACACTACTCTCTACTAAACAATGTTCTGGGTCCATCGGGTCAGGGACCTGCACAGCGTGTGAGGGAGGTGGGCCGGTACTGGTTCAGCAGAGAGAACCGTCATTTTCCTTCCATGTTCTACATGCAGACAAGAAGAAAAAGGAGATCTGAGGTTTTCTTTCGGTCATTCAATCCTTTATTCAGTTCAAACCCAGGCTGATGCAGGAAGTACTTTCTGGGTTTTGTTGGGTATTTACCAGGTAAACCAAAACCCACATAAAAGCAAACCTGACTCAAGGCCCAGACCAAAGTACCAAAGCTCTGCACAGAAAAAAAAATGGCTGCTGACAAGAAGAGGATTTCAATTTAAATTCAGTTCAGTTTCCCTCTTCAGCAATCCCTCATACTAAGCATGCTTGTAGCAACAGTGGAGAGGAAAAACTCCCTTTGAACAGGAAGAAACCTCCAGTAGAACAGGCTCAGTTTGAGTGGGAACAAGTCTATGAGAAGCTTTTGTAGCATCAAAGCAGCTGTTCTGCTTTTATTGGTTCTCACAGGGAAGGACTTTAGCTGTTCACCATTCCTGGAGCAGATATGTGATTATAGAGATGTTAGGTTTCAGCTGAGATGTCCTCACTCTGTCATTGGTGTCACAGCAGCAGCAGAAGGAGAGTCAGGCCGTACTCAGCCACAGCTATGGAGCTAAGAGTCTTCCATATCTCTGCTCCTGTTTGCAGGTAAAGGAAAGCCAGCAGCTCAAAGTGCTGTTCTCAGAGCAGCTCAGCAAACTGCAGAGCAAACAGCAGCAGGACACCGAGCTGCTGGAGGAGATCAGGTGGGGAGCCGCTCTCCTCCTGATGCCCCCTGCTGGGCTGACGATCCATAACCTGATTGTGTTCGATTCCCCCAGGTCCTTCAGCAAGCAGAGAGCAGCTATAGAGAAGGAGTACGGTCAGGTGAGAACATCTATTTCAGGGCACTTGTTACCGGAACCTTCCATGGTTTTCCACTAACAGCCTCACTAATTCCATTACTTGGCTCTTCTCTCTTCCCGTCCTCCTGGGGCTTTGCTGTTTTGCTTTATTTTGATGTTTGTTATTCTTTTCTTTCCTTACTCGCTGTGATCACCTTCTGCTTTTTTTAACTCTGTCTGTTTGTTCATGGGGTGAGATGGTTGTGGGAGACGAAGGGTGAGGGGGCCCAGAGGCTGTCTGGGGAGAAGATTGTTGGGATGAGGATCCAGAGGTCCGGTTGGGAGCGCTCCTACAGAAGGAGCCACAGAAATACATCTACCTTCTGATCACCTGAAGTTCTAGTTCTAAATATCTATAAAAAAAAAACCTTTCTCAATTATGCCTGTTTTTAGCATAAACCTCAGCTGCTCCCCAAATGTTAAGGGAAATATTTTCTGTTTGTGTTTAACTGTGGATTCAAGAGGATGAGTTTTATTGAGCACATTAGAAGAAGAGCTTTGGGTCATTCATAAAGAACCTGATTCCTGACATCAAGCCTGAGACATAACCTCCAGCTTCAGATGGAGATCTGCCCTGCAGCCTGCCGGTCATAGAATACAGTCTGTAAGGTTGTTTTCTATGTTTTTAGCTAACTGAATTCAACCTCTCTTCAGTCCATATGCTGACATTTATTTCACTTCTTTAAAACATCTAAGATTTCAAAGCATGTCTCAGCTCATCTTCCTCCACCACAGAGAAGAAGGTCTACCAGGTGGATGGATCTACCAGATGGACGGATATACTAGATGGATAGATCTACCAGATGGATAGATCTATCAGATGGACGGATCTACCAGATTGATGGATGTACTAGACGGACGGATCTACTAGACGGACGGATCTACAAGATGGATGGATCTACCAGATGGACGGATCTACCAGATGTTTATGGATCATCTCTGGGCAGAGGAACAGCTGTTTTCCTGCAGAGATAAAAAATCCCAGCTTCTGGGCTGTTGTCTGTAAATCTCCACAGTAGATGGATTATTAAGGGTTAGATGGTCGGTGTTGGTGGGACCAGCAGAGTCGGTGGAGAAGGTCAGAACCAAGCAGAGATCTACGGCGTTACGCCGCAACATCTGTCTTTTCCAGCTGTTGGTATCTGAACTACTGCAGCTGCAGTCTGGACCATCATGGTTGCAGAGAAGCTCTGTGGCTTTATGGCCCCGCCTCTGTGCTGTGATTGGTCCGTTCTGTTGCAGACTGGAGGGGTGGAGCCTGACTAGTTTTTAGTCAGTCTGACAGATGTTTCTGTTTCTGTTCTTTCTCAACTGCAGAAGAATCTACAAAAGCTCAATATCAGTTTCTACGAGGAATTTTATTCCCCAGATTCCTCCTCCTGCTCCTCCTTTTCCTCAACCTTCTCCTGTTCTTCCTGCTCCTACTGATCCTCCTTCTGCTCCCCCTCATCATCCTGAGGCTCCTCCTGTTCCTCGACGTCCTCCTGTTTCTCCTGCACCTCCACTTCCTCCTCCTCTACCTCCTTTTTTTCCTGCTCCTCCTTCTCCTTCTCCTGCTCATTCCTTACCAACAACTTGTTCATTTTTTAGTGTAGGTGTGTTTATTCTATAAAAGCAATAATCTCCTCTAATCTGTGGGTTACTGGGATTTATCAATGGTGGACGGGGTTATTGCTTAATTTATCAATCAATCAATCTTTACTGTCAACTACAGTTTACATTGCAATCGAAATTTCAGTTTCAGTACAAACCTTCTTCTGTTCTTCTGTGACCTTTCACCATAACATCCAGGGGAGACTAGATAAAGAGGGGGGGAGGCCGAATCCAGAATAACAATTATTGTTTTGAGAGCAGGCTGCACAGGAATTTCCTTCAGCCTTGACGCTTTTTCTTACTGGCTCTTTTTCGTGGTGAGACTAATGTTCCAAATTTCCTGGGCTTTTCCACCTTGAAGCGAGCGTGTACATCCAAGATATTATTCCATCTCACCTTTGACTTCAACCACCGCAGCCAGCCTGCGTTCAATCGCACCCAGCATGCGGGTCATCTCCCGGTCCTACTCGTTCACAGCCTTTGTGAGGGTGTCAACCGCTGCCGACAGCTTGATCAATGCCCGAATTGTCACAGACATCTTCTGTAATTGTAGATTCATCAGCTATCCTCCAAATCCAACAGGAGAAATCCGAGCATCATAAAACCAAAAAAATCGGTGCATCTTCGATATCCTCCACTGACAGCATTGTAAAACACACCATCCTCCAAGCCTTTCAGGAGTCTATGGTGTATCCCGCGAAGTATGTCCCGGGAAAACAGGACCGGTCCACTTTTCAGCGTCTTCCAGTTGATGAAATTCGATCAATTGCATTAAAGACCAGCTGACCATATCCACTGTTTGAGTTTGTGTGATAGGAAGAGAGAGCTCAGAAAATACAAGACACAGCAAAGCAGGGACAGAGCAGGAACAGGAGGAACAGGAGCAGCAGGAAAATGCGACCGCCTCCTTCAAGAGTCAGAACAGAAGAGATTTAGCTTCTTCTGGAAGATAAATGAATAGAGAATAATTAATGTCTTTGTGTTGAACAAACCTTCAGGCTCTTCAGAGGTTGGCTGTCCAGTTCCAAAAGAAGGATTGGCAGAGAGGGAATATGGACGCCGTGGTTACTGGGTGACTAACCCCCCAATGCAGATCTTCCTGACCACCATGAACGCACCACGAGTCTACATTAATGCTGCTGCTGTTGCCTTCAGGAGTGTGTTTGCTGTATGGAGATCCGTGGTGGACGCCGCCGCTCAGGCTGCAGCCTCTCGACTTGCTGCTGCAGAGGAATACCGCAGACTTACTGGACAAACCTCCAAAAGTATTCACAATGCCAAGGAAACTGGGGCCAAAAGAGTGAGGCGCCACACACTGAGGGATCCTCTGAAATATGCCCTGAGTGATTAACAAATGGCAACTTTCAGGGCCTGGAGAGACTGCAGAAGGTGCAGGGGGAGGTGGTGGAGGCCCTACGGGAGCTGCACAGGGTCAAGAAGAGCTACCTCCATCTGAGCAACGTTGCCAGTGTAGCTAGAGAGAAAGCAGCTGAGGCACAGAGCAGGTGGGTGACCTGACCTCCACCTTATCACATTCACCTGTTCTCTGATCTTCTCATGTCCACATCTGGAAATGCTAAACGTGTAAAAATTAAACACAGTCAATGAACAAAGCTGCTATTTGGAATGAAAGCCCATGAAGGAGCAACCAGAGGAGGCCTTAGGGAGAGCTCAGCAGGCAAATCTCAGAGGAGGAGAGAGGGGAACACTGGGGAGTAGTGGTAGGATCATTACCATTAGGCAATACTAGGCAGCTGCCTAG